ATTTTTATAAACGAGTTCGAACAGGAGAGTCACAAACGCGCATCACAGAACAGAGCAAGGCGAGCATTTGAGCTTATAAAACTTAAACTTTGTTATTTATTTATTAAACGAGCGATCGTTTCGCTTGATAAGACCCTTATTCATCGTCTGGAATCGTTTAAAGCCCTTTGAACAGTTTGCACTGAAAGTGCCTTTTGGACCTTGAACCGTTTGGTCCCCATTGAAGTCCATTATATGGAGAAAATCCTGGAATGTTTTCATCAAAAACCTTAATTTCTTTTCGACTGAAGAAAGAAAGACATGAACATCTTGGATGACATGGGGGCGAGTAAATTATCAGCAAAAGTTTTTTTGAAAAGTGAACTACTCCTTTAATTTGAGTGTCCCTATAATCAGACCAGGTGATGTTTCTGCAGCTGACTGGATACAATGGCATCGTTTTCTTTAAAAGCAAAGTCTGCTCTTCTCGACAGCGTGGATGACCTCTCGCATGGGTCTTTTGTTGGTACAGTGCCTACCATTTGCATTTTACAATTGTTTAACAAATAATCACCCGTGGCAGGCTATTATCCCCCACTGTGACCCCAACACACACACAGCTGCGGTCTGGCACACAGGGGTTTGTTCTCGCATATGCTGGAGAGAAACCAGAGACACGAGATACATCTGTGAAACTAACTGAGGCATTAATTAGATAGATAGATAGATAGATAGATAGATAGATAGATAGTCTTTGCAATGGTATATGTAAATGAATTGTTTGTCTCATTAAACTTGCTTTTGCTTGTCTGCTTTCAGGAGATAACCATCAGGTAAATTCAGAGGGCAGTGTAAATGAGACGAGACTTATTTTCCATAAATCATTAGAGAAAATGTAAATGTTTCATAGTAACTAATGGGAAACTAATGTGTGGTTGTTCTAGGCTTATGTCTATTTGGCAAATTTGAAAAGTTTGTGACACTTTGTTAAATGGATAGTTAACCAAAAAAGAAAATTACTCGTCCTCAAGTTGCTTCAAACCTGTATGAATTATTTCTTCTAAGACATTCAAAATATGCGTCTGTGTTCAGGAGAAGAAAGCAATTCATCTAGGTTTGGACTGGAGTAAATGATGACAGAATTGTCTTTTTTGGGTGAACTACCCCTTTGGGATAATGGAAATAACTTTGTTCTCAAAAGAAAAATCTGAAAAGTTGTAGACCGAGACTCAATTTGGTGTCCATTTAATCTCATTGATGTCTAGGAGAATTTGTTGAAATTTGATAAATTAAATAATATCTGACCTAAAGAAATTAGTCTCTTGGTATATATGCCTGTTTTATTTTATGCGATTCTTGATCAGTTCCAACAAATTGTTATTTAGCTCTGAAAGAAAGAAAAATAACATTATTTTTGGATTGTTTCAATTTGATATCTCAGTTTAATAGACAGCAGCAGTGATCATAAATAGAGAACAAATGGAAAAGAAGAAGAATTCTGCTTAACTCTAACCCTATGTGTCTCCTTTAGAGTTTCAGATGAGATCTTAAAAGTCAAACAGATTTAATGACCAGTGTTGGGTAAGTTACTCTAAAAAAGTAATTAATTACTAGTTACTAATTACCTCTTCGACAGTGTAATTAGATTACTACTAATTATTCTCTCTAAAAAGTATTTAATTACTTTTAATTACTAATTACTTTCAAAATCCCATATCAATCTCAACCAGCTGAATAATACAAGGATAGACATGAATCTGTTTTAATTCTTTCAAATAAATACTATAAAATTGCATGAATTATCCTTAAACAGACCAAGGTGGAGAAGGTTACATTATAAAAACACATCAGACAATACATTTTGATGTTAAACCCACTATTGTTTTATGTCTGATCTCTTGACATTTCACCCTTTTTCCATACATATTTTACAATAATTCATCCGAATTTGTACGAGTGCGGTCGTACAATTTAGACGCCTCATAAAATGCATACGAATCGCTGTGAGATCGGATTGATCTATACTGTAAAAATGAATATGCTTTATCTAATCAGTAAAATTGTGGCAACAGATTACAAGCAATATTATTTATTAAATTGAACAAATTAGAATTGAGTAATAGTTAATCAAATTAACATTCTAATTAATTCTAATTTGTACAATTTAATTAATAATATTGCTTGTAATATGTTGCCACAATTTTATTGATTAGATAAAGCATATCATTTTTTTCAGTGGCTATCTCAATTACATCAGAAGTAACTGTAATTAAATTATTGATAAATGAAGAGTAATCCCTTACTTTACATTTTCAAGGGAAAAGTAATTAAATAACAGTAACTAATTACTTAGTAAACACTGTTAATGACACAATCTCCACATTCATTTTGAAAACTCTGTACATTTACTGTATGTCAACAAGTGTCTCATTTGCAACTATTTTTATTCTCTTAATAATTTTAGGAGAAACATCAGACAAAGTTGACTCTTAAAGGGCAACCTCTGAACGATAAAATGTTCCTCCGGGTGGCCATAAACGCATCAAGTTTGATCCTAAAGTGGAGATGAGGGGGGGGGTTTGTGTATCCAGCATGGCAGAGTTAATGCGAGTGCTCAATCTGAGTCCGGCTTTCATTAGTTGGACAGTTTTATTGCAGTTGTCTACTCAGCTTCCTGTGTAGTCCCTGCACAGCTGACACTGGGCGTTCAGAGACACAGACAATCTGAATGCTTTGCATATGAGTGTGTGTGTGTGTGTGTGTGTGTGTGTGGATACTGCTGTCTTTGTGTTTGCTGGGATTCCCTCAGGGCCACAACAGGCCACAGCTGTACAGAACATTGCCAATGTTGCATGTTGAGACATTAGAAGTGTGTGTGTGTAAGTTCACTCTGTTTGTGTTGAGACAGCTGATGCATGAAATGGAGCTCAGGTAAGCGCGGGGCCCGCGGCTGTCTCGTGTCTTCCAGCGAGTGATTTTACTCGGGCGCATTGATTTTGTTCACAAGTTCACAGCCGGCAAAAAGAATCAGCTGACCGACAGAGTCCTGACGTTTAACAGGTTAAACCCTTAAGAGAACAAGTGTGTGTTACATTACATAGACCAGCAGACACAAACAAAAATATAATTCAATTCATAGTCCCTCCAAAAAATAGATGTATGTTATTATACTGCATATATTTATTAGCCTATATGATATGATGTAATATAATATAATAATATTCGATTGTGTTTTAAATTATTAATTTTTTTATTATTCATTTGTTACTAATTATTATAATGTTTAATAGTTTTATTTTTATCGGCTATTTTATATTTGTTGAAAAGTAAAAAAGAAGCGAGTTGAGCAGTTTGTTTTAATTGTGAATTATGCCATTTTTATTATTCTGTCATTTATGCAAACTCATGGGACCTTATTTCGGAAAAAAAATATGTGTGGTAGTCAATGGCGAGAGACAACTTATCTTTTTATTCCGTCTGAACTGTGCCCTGAATTAGGCTACACATATGATGTTTGTCAATTTAAAAGATAATTCTGAGAGTCAAAAACGTCGCAGTTTGTCATAGAACAGAAGAGTAACATTTAGTTTTATGTTAAAATCGCTCAATGAACTACATCTCCCGGAAAGCGAAACAACGAGCAAGATCCGCTGCTCGTGTGTGTGCAGTCTGGTACAAAACACTCAGGTATGACGGCGTAACGTTACGATTATAACGCAAGACTATGGAAACAATGACAGACGTTAGCTTCAGTAAAGTTAGCTTCATTCATTGAGAGAAAATGTGCGCCTTTGGGGTTTGTAGTCTTTGTAATTACGTATTTTCACAGTCTTATACCTCAACGGTTTTACATCAAACTGCGACTTTCTTTACTTTAAAACGTATCTTTTAAATTGACAAACATTATATGTGTAATTCAGGGCACAATTCAAACGAGATCGAAATATTTGTTGTCTCTCGCCAGTAACTACCATAAGGTCTCATGGTGGTCGACCGGAAAGGGAGGGACTTATGCTCTCTATATTGTTTTATTAAACTTATTGCTATTGGTCATCCTTGTCGTCTGTATGTGTGTTTTTTTTTGTGTGTTTTTTTAAACCACTGATCTATAAACGACATTGGTTTTACTAATATTTAACCAATATTTAACAAATAAAAAGTTTTTTTCTTTAAAAAAAAAAAAGGTTGTGACTTAACCATTGGTTCCTCTAACTGTCAGTCAAACTCGCGGCGCTGTTCTGAGATCTCTGCTTGTTTTCAATGCAAGAAAAAATAAACTGATGTTTGCGTAAGTACAGCGTTTTCTTTACTCAAGAAACACTATTCCCATAAACGCTGCCGTTTTTGGTATTTGAAGAGCGAAGAAAGTCGTAGTCTTTGCTGTGTAGTTGAAGAAAATATAGCTTCTGTTTGTGCATACTAGCGGTTCATTTTTGTATAATGAGATTTTGATGGTGAGATTTCAAACTCCCATAGCTCCCATATTTCTACAATAAACTTTATATAGCCTACTTTCAATGCCTCAGATTGGCTGTTCCACTGACAGACAAAAAATGCTGGTCCAAAACCTAGTAGGCTTACTCAATTTGAGCTTGATTTTCATAAAATTTTAATATTATAATGACACTTGCAAGTGTCTGACTAAAGCTATATAAAGCCACAATACCAACTTTGACGACTATGGAAATCTGTTGTTTTATAATCACTAACAATGTCATGCTGACCTTATTGTGGTCCGACCTGACCTTAGCTCAAGTTTCACATTAAATGTGAGTAGCCTAATACGTTTAATATAATATTTAGTTTTAGTTAAGCAATGCATGTTTGTGCAATTTTGTAAGCCTATATTTTATATAGTGGTGTGCCTTGGGATTTTTTTTCTTATCAAAACTTTGTGGCAAAAAAAAAAAAATAATAATAATAAGGTTGGGAAACACGGGTTCAAAGCTGTTGTATGGCATTAGAAAACTTGTAATACCACAAATTTTGACTTTTTTTCTCTCTCTTTTGTAACTCAACAGCATCCTGGAATCTCCATTAAAATATTGGCAAGAGCAGCATGAACATTCGTGAAAATATCTCCATTTGTTTAAGAAGAAAGGACTGGGTGAACAATTTGAGGGTGAGTAAATGATGCATATTAATTTTTGGCATCCGTTTCTCATTTTCTTCCTCGACAAAATGTAAGAGTTACATCCGCTGGTAAAATGAGGACACACACACACACTCCATCCAGACCTCATAAGTGAGACCTGCAGCTTGTGTCAGCCACCAGAGCATTCTGGGAACTCTGAATAATAAGTGTTTAGTCCTGATCAATGGGAGCCACCGTGCTGTTAGTGGCAAAATCAATACAGTTTTCTTTGCTATTACAATAGGCTGTCCTGTTGCAAATGAGCTCTGAAAGCGAGTTGTCTGGGAGAGATGTCGAATAATCGGAGCAGGCTGAAGAAGTTCAGAGTAATAACGAGGTCAATAGCTTCCATTACTGCTGCCGTCCGCACCGAGGAACCTCTCGGGTCGCAGCACACTCATTACTTTCACTGTTCAGTGTGGAATAAAGACAATAAGACCAACAAACATTAAAGTCAACAAGAATTGCACTCTGCAACCATTACTACTCTAATTTAAAGGGATACTTCACCACTGGAAAGATGAATGTGTATATTTAAACCTAATTACTAAGTAATTATTAGTTACTGTAATTTAATTACTTTTCCCTTGAAAATGTAAAGTAAGGGATTATCCTTCATTTATCAGTAATTTAATTACAGTTACTTCTGATGTAATTGAGGTAAATACTGTGTATAGATCAATCTGATCTCACAGCGATTCGTATGCATTTTATGAGGCGTCTAAATTCGTATGAATTATTGTAAAATATTTATGAAAAAAAGTGTGAAATGTCATGAGATCAGACATAAAACAATAGTGGGTTTAACATCAAAATGTATTGTCTGATGCTAAAAAGTATGTTTTTATAATGTAACCTTCTCCACCTTGGTCTTTTTAGGGATAATTCATGCAATTTTATAGTATTTATTTGAAAGAATTAAAACAGATTCATGTCTATCCTTGTATTATTCAGCTGGTTGAGATTGATATGGGATTTTGAAAGTAATTAGTAATTAAATACTTTTTAGAGAGAGTAATTAGTACAGTAATCTAATTACACTGTTGAAGAGGTACTTAGTAACTAGTAATTAATTACTTTTTTAGAGTAACTTACCTTCACAACTGGCTAATGAAAATATGTCTTTGTGAAATATAATTGGCTATGACATTATTTCAGTATGATATATTTATTTATTTTTCTTGCAACAGAAAGGTTTCAGACTACATTTTGGTAAATAATAAACAAAAACATTAGAATAATGTGCACTAATGAATCATGTGTATTAAAACTAAGGGCATTTTATAGCCTTTTAAGACAATATGATATCCAGAGTGAAAAGTCTATAAAAACTATATGATTGAAATGAGATTTTCTGTTCAGATCTTCCCTCTAAATCAAATGAATCATCAGTGTGTCGTGAGCTCATGAATCAAAGAGTTCAGCTCAGTGTGTGTGAGAGTGACCTTTACCACACACTCCTCAGTGAGACTGGATAATTTTCCCTTCAAGAGATCCATCAGGAGTCTGAGATGAGAACAGATGTGTCTGAGAAGTAGACAATACTAAGCAACACTAAAAAGTGCATTTCTCTTTTTCTGTCTGAGTGGCTGAAATATAGCTTTCTGCTGCAGACATTAGCTCATGCATGCTGTAGGGTCCGGTCCGGATAACGTATGTGGTGCAGATCAAATTAATGTATGTTTCAAAACAATAATCTCAGTTCAGTGTCTTTTTTTATCCCTTTTGTTTGGGTCTCTGAGGACGCCGCAGGGTTAATGGCGTAAATGGTTCAATGCATGTGTGTGCGATGCCATCATCTCATAAATATGACCTTGCTGTGACCTTTGCATGCCGCCCTAACCCAGCATGCAGAGGACAGACATGATTTTTCATATTCAGGCACTGCAATGTTCTCCCATAAATAGTGCGGGCAATAGTAGAACTTTTTGTGAAGAGATAGTTCACCAAAAAATAAAACATTTTGGGGTTTTAAAATCCGATATATCGGCCGATATATATATATATATTTTTTATTAAATATTGTTGGATTTCACACACGTGTAAAAGAAAAGCTAACTTTTCTGCACAAGATACGTTTGATACTTTTTCTCTATGTCTAAATATTCACTCCTCGCAAGTATAACTCACATTTTACAATGCAGGGACTGTAACTAGAGATATGCTAGTTATAAATACAGTAATCATTACTTTATTTAGGCAGAAAAAGTTCATTGTGGTTTCCAAGCTCATTAATGTTAACGTTAGCGGTCTTCCACTGATGATAGTGGCGTTAGCTAGCTTTGTGGTTAGCTAGTCTATGATGAGCCATAATTTAAAATTGTAAAACATACATTTTCAATATAACAGGCCAAGGAGAGATGATTGAAGTGTGTTTCGTCCGTTTTTATTTTATTTTTTTAATATTAATTTATCGGCCATTATAACTTGCCGATACCGATATTATGGAAAATGCCTAATATCGACCGGCCGATATATCGGTCTGGCTCTGTAGAACATGAAAGGTGTTTTTTATATATATATATATATATTATTTTTTATAATATCCTGGTAATTATTTACAATAGTTGTTGAGCCCAAAAATGACAAGAAAGTCATATAATAACTTTAGGTCAGTGTTTCTCAACCCTGTTGAGACCAAAATTGAAGCATTTAATTTCCCCCTCCTGAATAACTGCATCATTGAGTCTAATGCTGAACTTGGAACTGCATACTTTTACAGAACTACTACTTTTACCATATTTCTATGGCAGAAATAAGAGTAGTGTGATTGTATGCTGTTTCGGATTCAGAGACCAAGTCTTGATTTGTCAGATTTGTCCACATATGTGTCTCGCCACGCCACTATTGGACAAACAGGTCTCAGGTCATTTCAGTGGAAGATCAAGTTATGAAACTTGGATTAAAAATAAATGGCATTTAAAACTAATAAGTAAAAGAATATATTTAAAAAAAATTCTAAAGTAATTTTAAAGTAATTTGGACCAGTTTTATGTTGCATTTTTGCCATTATTGGAGGTGGCCAACCACCTTTTGTGTTCCCCAGAAGAGGGTTTGGAGCGACATGAGGTTGAGTAAATGATGACAGAATGTTCCTTCTTGGCTCAACTATTCCATCTTACAGAGATCACAAAATCTCTCTCTCTCTCATCCTTATGCATCTATTATTCATCCAGGCTTTCTCTCAACGCAGCACCTCATACTGCCAAAACACTGGTGCTAATAAGGCTTTCCTCGATGATCATGTGTGACAGCTTGGTCAGGAATTAGCCTCACTTTCACCCCTCCGAGAGGCCCAGAGAGCCTGTGGCGCCCCGCGGTCAGTCTTCTGACACTCGCAAATGGAGTCGGGCCCGAGACCCGCCTGGATCCCGCACAGTGCCCGAGGTCTGGCCCGTTATGTTTGTTCAGCAGACATTTTAACCTTCATCTCGGAACAATAAAACAAGAATAGAACGAATGTGTGTGTGTGAAAGCGAGAGACGGTGGGGGTATTTGACACATCTCCTTAAGCCACTGTGTGCTTTATTATCTTTGGCAGGCCTTATTGGTCGTGCTAATCAAGTGAACGATTTGCCACCCTCATTCCCGGCAACTGACAAACGCATTAGGAACCGAAGGGAACGTGCGACCTTGAACGTGTCACCTGCAAACCAGCTGGCGCTCTCTCCGCCAGCAGGGAACGACCTTTCGGAGGTCAATAAACTAAATAATTCACAAAGGTTATTCACTTTGCGCTGAATGCACAACAAATCTTTGCAACTGGAGTCGGTTCATAACGCGGATCCAGTTTCGATCACGTTCATGACGCTGGACATATGCTCGATTTCTCTGCCCTCTCAGACTGCAAACATGAAGACTTCATGAATTATTCAAACGTGGCTTTGATGTGGCATTTGATAACACGGGGCATTTATGATGTGTACACTAACTTCACGATTTTGGCCGAGGCTTGGCGCTAATGTCTGTGCCAACAAATTATGATCAGTGAAGTTATCAGTGTACAGCTGCGAGCCTTTTCAGATCACTAACGAGGAAAGAGTGGAAGTCATGCTTTAAAGACCCCCTGAAATCAAAGGGTTTTGGGGTTTTAGTATAGCCTTAAGGTAATGAATAACCTGGTGTGTTCCAAAACAATGACGAAATTCACATTTTGGAGATAAAAGCATTCAAAACTTTGGATATGGATTTTTATGACATCACCGCGACTGTCCAATCAAATGCTCTCTAGAATCTAAAGCATCAGCCCGTTCTCATCCCAAGGCGCGAGTTTTTTTGTGATTGTGGCGGGCAAAAATCTTTGATTATGCGGCCCGTTTTCTTTAAAAATGCGATGGAATATGTGGGATATTTATGCAATTTTATGCGATGAAATTGCGGGAACTTGCAAAAATTGCGGAAACTTCCAAAAATTTCGGGAATTTGCACAAATTGCGGGAATTTGCACAAATTGCGGAAACTTGCACAAATTGCGGGAATTTGCAAAAATTGCGGAAACTTGCAAAAATTGCGGGAATTTGCAAAAATTGCGGGAATTTGCAAAAATTGCGGAAACATGCAAAAATTGCGGGAAATTTGGAAAAATTGCGGTAACTTTCAAAAATTGCGGGAATTTCAGTGCAGCTTCAAAGGGTTTTAAACAACAACAACAACAAGAAAATGCGTCATTTTAACAAATTAAGGGCGTTTTCACACCTATAGATCGTTTGTTCTAATCTGAAACAGGTACTTAGACACTACTGCTATTTATATAGCACAAACGATCTATAGGTGCGAAAACACCCTAAGTCTACAAGACCATATTGTGATATGAAGTATGCCGTTCGTAGGGTTGGGTATCGAGAATCGAGTATCGATTGGAACCGGAACTAACTTTTCATTTTTCCCGGAATCGTTCAAAAGTTAAAATTTCGATTCCTAGTTTCAATATTCACAGTCCGCCGAGCGGAAGAAGAAACCGCTGAACAACACCAACGAAGAAGCGTCTA